ATATATGTGTATTTATGCATAGCAATCTCATTTAATACACAAAATGACCATTATGTAGATAATACTTTTAGCCTCTGGGGTAGGCAAACAAATTGGAGTGCAGAATTTTTTTATTATTTCTCTGAGATTTTAATTATAACATTCTCCCTTTCCTTTTACTTCCTCCAAACACTTCCACATATTCCTCTCTGCTGTTTTCCAAATCTGTCTTACTTTCCTTAATTGTTGATATATATATTTAAATACATATATTAATAATATATATACTATATATAATTACAGACTGAAAAAGTTGCCATTAATTACACACACAATAAAGTTGCTAACATGGAGTTTGGAAAGCCCAGGAGGCTTTGAGCAGATGCAAAGAACTACAAGGAATTACAATGATTAGAGCAAGAGAAACAGTCTTCCAGCGGGAAGAGCACACCAGTTTGTTGGTTATCCACTGAAAAATGGTCAGCCCGAAAAACATACATAAAAGTAATATTATACAGACATGGAAGATGTGCAGAAATATTTAAGTCCCTGCCCAAGATAGTAAGTGATCAACTCAAGATTTAAGCCAAGCAAGTCAGGATTTTACTCTCTGAATCAGACAGATTTCAAAAGAGCATGGTGTTTTCTGACTAAGACTATGTAAGTATAAATAGATCCTGAAGGACTAAGGTAAAGTTGACTTTGAATAATTTGTAGCAGGATTCCGGATATGGATAGCATTCCTTGGTACTGAGAGGATTGTAAGGGGTGAGATACGCAATGACAATTGGGCTGTCAATGGGAAAAGACAGGAAATTTGTTCACAGGTGTAGAGATTGGCAAAATGCCTCTTGCTAAATACTGCAGTATGGAGCACTCCGTCCTTTAGTGGCTATGAATGCTGAGTGGGAAAAAGAAATGTTGGGAATACATACCAGATTCCTTCTTCTTTTTAAATATTATAAAGAGAGAAATTAGTTATAATTGGACATCACTGACCATAGGGAAACAAGACCACTAAGTTAACATTCTTACTTCTCCCAGTGCATATTACAAACGGAGGCATCTTAAAGCAGGGTATCGATAACCTGCTCCAACGGGAAGGGGTGGGTGGCTCGAGAGTGAGGTAAGGGGACATCAAGGAGGTTGAATTTTCAAAGAATAAATAAAAATTGTAAAAGGGGAACTGCTCTACACTTCCTGTTTTAGAACAGAAGTTCATTAATTACACTTTATTATTATTATTATTATTATTATTATTATTATTATTATTGCTTCTCAAAACTACAAAAACACTATGAAGTCAGCTAGACAAGTCCTTAGCTGGAAATTAACTGCATTCTGAATTCCCACATACTAATTTCAGGTTAGTTAATAACCCAATTGACACCCTTTTTCCTTCTTTAGTAATTTTTGAATGAAGATAAAACTAATGAGAGATGACCATCCCACAAGCACTTCAGACTGCATGATGAGGAAGATGATGAGTAGGGTTTCATGAGGTTTAGCCTGGATTGTTAACACACTTACAACATTTTTCTGACATCACCATGTTCAAACTTTTTTTTCCCTATGAATGTTAAATCTCATAAGAAGCCAGTTATATGATGTTGGAAATTAGCTTTTCCTTGTAAAATTAAAGTTACTGCTTCTTTTTTTTTTTTTTTTTGAGCATTCAATATCTATACTGTTATTTATCGAATTTCTTCATGTCTGTATATTTGAGTATAATCATGTTTGAGTGTGTGTATGTACATGTGTACACATGCACTCCTGTATGTTGTATGCATGAACACTTGTATGTGAATGAGTGCACAGGTACGTGTGCATGGGGAGGCCAGAGACTGACAGTAGGTGTCTTCTGTAGTAGTGTTCTCTCCACTTTACTGTTTTGGGCAGAGTCTCCCATTGAACCTCACTGAACCTCAAGTTCATCAGTTCAGTTAAAACAACTGATCAGCAAGCCCAAGGGGTCCTCCTATCTCAGCCTCCCCAGTTCTAGGGTTATAAACAAGAAGCAGCACGCCAGGCCATTCATCTGTGTGTTAGGGACTGAACTCAGATCTTTATTCTTGTTTGGCAAACACATTACCATCTTCCCAGCCTCTATATGGGACATATTTTTAGGGACAGTGATGATCTCAGTTGCACAGCTATAATGGGCTCCTAACCGTAGCTGCCACCACTGTTGACACTGTTTTGTAAGTTAGGTGTGACTGTGATACTTTTCACCCATGATCTATATCATCTTTACCTTCATGTATAGATTGAAATGTACTTATATACTTCCCCAGGTGTTAAGATGTTAATTATGCGACCTTTCAGAGAGGAGTATTCTATTTTGATGTATTTCCTCTCACGTTTAGATATTTCATCCGTTTTTCTCTGTGCGTCTCTCTCTGTACTAGTCAATGGGATATATGATAGATATATCTCATTAAATGGTAGTTAGATTTATGAAAAGTGCACAAGAGAATACAATAATGCAAATATTGTGTGTCTGGGTGTGACAGTTCATCCCTGTAATAGTCTTCTCCAGGCCAGGCCGAGGCATGATGACTGCTGGAAGGTTGAGGCCAATGCGGGCTTCAAAGTGGATTGTAGGCTGGCCTAAGTAATAGGACGAGATTCCATTCCAAGGAAATGAACACTAATAAACAAACAAACTTACATTCACTCTTCACATTGTCCTGTCCTGGGTGAAAGAACAGACCAGGAGCCAACAAAAAGCTGACGTGTCTTCAGTTGTCCACCCCATTTCCTGAGGCAGTGTGAACCCAGATAGGCCTTTGGCATTCTGGTAGGAGCCCAGGGCATACTGAGCTGCTAGGCTGGGTGCGAGAAACAAGTCTGATCATTTTACATGATCAAAGGGGGAAGCTTTGTCTTTGACACTGTAGAAGGCTAAATATGGACCACATCCATTGCAGTTTGTATTTCTGCTTTCCCTGTGCTTTTCATGGCAACTCCCTCTAATTGGATTTGGTATCTTCATCTCTCCTACAGAAACCTTAAGTAGGGAAGGAGTGGCATGCACCCATGCCTTCATCAGGTATGTGACAAGCAGACCATGCAGGCAGGCCCCCAGGGCACCTTACCCACCTACAAAATAAAATATTCCATCTTGAAGGACTCAGAGCTCAGAATGGCAGGACGCTACAGGCCAGACAGGATGGGATGACAGAATCCTGTCTCTATATGTGATGACTAATAGAAATCAACTTCCTGATAAGAAATTAAACAAAGATAAAGACAATGACCATTGAAAAAAAGTCTTCAGATAAATTGCATTGTAGGAAAACCAAGTCAATAACAGGAAGCAGGCAGAAGTGCTTTGCTGAATGTATTTATTCAAATAGACTATTATATTATTAATGAGGTGAAATTAATTTCAACAGTAATATAAATAGATTGTCTTGAACACTCATTAAATACGCCTTTATTGCTGTTTCACATAATTTTTCATAAAAGATAAAAGCCAAATTTGGGTTCCTAAGGGTTGTCCAAATCAAAGAATATTTCCATTTATCCAACATGTCTTCATGGTCATAAGAGCTACATAAAGCAATTTATTAAACATCACTGTTTAAAAACAATATTTAAAGCACACAAGTTAAAGCTAGCAAAAAAGGAAAATATACTCAAAATCCAAAATTTAAAAGATGCAGCAGCAAACAGATCCAGGATTTGAAGATCAGAGCTAAGCCTCTACTTTAAACCAACATCAGCAGTAGGCCGTAATCCTGGGGAAGAAGTAAATTCCACAAATAAACAGCCCAATTTTCCTTTAAGAGGAGAGCTAATTCTTTTCAATCTACTTTTTTTTATTACACTATTTCCCCCCTCTATCTACTTAGCAAGTATAAGGATAAATTTCCAAAGCTGGCTGGATGGAAAATAAATAGATTCACTGTTTGTCTAGAATTCCAATCTTTGCGAATGTAAATAAGTCCAAGGGCCCCTCATTTAAACCTTTAACTTTGCAGAGCATTAGAGGGTGGCTTTCACCTCACAATTTAATCCATCCACTAAGATTTCTGCCTGAGCATCATTCAGAATTGACTATCTGATAAAAAATGACCACCACCAAAGGTCACAGAGGTCGACCTGTATAATTGCAGGGTTGTTCTCTGTCAACTCTACCAAACACTGCTGTTTGAACATTTAGTTGTTACAATTAAATATGTACACAGATTGCCCAGGAGTTACTTTATTGTTCAATGTACTGGAAACAGCACAAGCATTTACTTTTGACCTGAATTGTGTCCATAGTATCACCCACTGGGAAACTATATATAAAGAGTGCTTATTAAAGACATTATAATCTTGCACTTTAAACAATGCTTCATAAACTAAAATGCATGGTTTTCTGCTGGGAGCTGGTTTTATTTATCACATCAATATTAGGAAGTTCATCCAGGTTATTCTGTCTTAATGGGAAGCTTTCTAGGAAATGACATTACTATTTTATAGCTGGGGAGCTTGCCATGGAGGAAGAAGATAGCTCATCCTCAAGACACTCAGGCAGGCATCTTTCACTGGACCGTAGACCCTTTCATTTCTCTAAGATCCAGTCACATTTTCACAACAGAGTTAAAGGGAGCCTGGGATAGAAAACTTTCAAATGGTCCATTTCCTATTTGTTTGTTGTTGTTGTTGTTGTTGTTGTTCACTGCAACGCCTTTTTACGGTTTGCATTAACTGGACAAAGGAACAGTATAAAAATCGCTCATGACTGTGACCAGTAAGACCTGATGTCGTATTTAATTTCACTTTAATAAGGGTGTATATGGATCAAATATTTTCCTTTTGTCAATGTGGTATGGAAAAGAAAAAGAGAAAAAGGGAAGAAATAAGGAATATCACCATGGGGTGTTCAAAATGTGTACATTTATACGTGAGGTGACTTTTACAGGTTGTGTGCAAGTGTTAATAAGTGACATAGAACAATTTTAACTTTTATAATGGAAGTAACTCTTTGGATTTCAGTAGTCTTACACACTATGTTTGTATACTTTCAGATTTTGTGTCGGAGACAAATTTTTCTTGAAGAATAACATGATTCTATGCCAGACAGACTATGAGGAAGGCCTATTGAAAGAAGGTTATGCACCACAGGTCCGCTGATCCGTCGGCATCACCCCCGACAGCACAAAGCACTACATCCTTTATCTTCTCTGCTCACACATGTATATAAGAATCGACACAGGAACCTACTAAATAGGGTAGTGATAGGACCGCAGGATGGCCATATGGGATACAAGGTGGACCGCATCTGTACGTAGTGAGATTGCCCCAGCTCAAGAGTTGAATGTTCATTATTAAAGACAGAAAAGTAATGTATATATTGCTGGATTTTTTTTTTTTTGCTTGCTATTCGTTTTTGTGTCACTTGGCATGAGATGTTTATTTTGGACTATTGTATATAATGTATTGTAATATCTGAAGCACAAATGTAATACAGTTTTATTGTGTTACCATTTGTGTTTTTGTTTGCTTCTTTGTATTGTTGCATTTAGTACAATCAGTGTTTAAACTTACTGAATATTTATGCTTTCTGTGTCTGCCAGCTGTTTTCAATGAGCTGTACCTTTCTAGTGAGAATTGGAGAGCAAACGTCACTGATGACACACAGATAAAGCAAGACTATCACCATTAGAAAGAAAAACAAACAAATAAGTAAACACATGCAAAGCAGTTAGTGACATCCCCTTCTTATGGCTTCTACAGTTTGGTGTATTCATGTTCTCATGATGACCCCTATTTTCAGGGGACTAAAGATCAGCTTTAAAAAAATATATAGAGTTCATCTTTAAGCACTTTCATTTTATACCAACGTGAAAAGTGCCATTTTTAGAATGACTTTAAGGCTTGGTGATGTCCTTCTAATATTCTTTATTGTGTTCCTTACGTTCACTATAGATTTATTCTATTTCTCTCTCCCCCCCCATCACACACCCTTATGTGAACTAGTGCCTTTGGGTAGCATGTAAAATTTTTTCCAAAGGGTTACTCTAAATGAAAAGGGTATTACCACATTTATGACATGATTTTTTTTTCAAATTTTAAATCTCTTACATAAATGTTGTCCAGGTATCTCCCTAGGAAATGGGGGTTACTGTCTTTGTGGTTAAAGAATTGAGGGCGCTGAACAGAATTTGGGTGTGGATTAGGATGATGCACATTGAGACTATGCCGGCATTTGAATCAGATGGTGATCTGTCCATAGCAATGTAATTACAGGCACAGGATCTTACAGAAGGGAAACAAAGGGTTGATAAAAAGTTGAGAGCTGTTTGACGGTTGTGTATTTCACCTGCCATTTCCTGTTCAGGACACGTTGTTGATTTGGTTTGTAACACTTTCTCAGCCCCTCATGTTCTTTGCCCTCTTTCTACTCAGATTATATGTAACGTTTGGGCTAAAATCTGCCATTACATTTTTTTTTTTATGGTGAAGTGTTTCCCCTCCTCCCCCACCCTTATTTAAATGATAGCTGATGAAGAAGAATGTTCTAGAAACAGAAACTGTGGGAAATGATTACTTAAATTGCAATTAAGGAAATAAAACCAAGAATATGGTTCCCTCCTCTGCTCACACTTCATTGTTTTGGTTTTGCATTCTGCGGTGGGACCGATTTTCCACAAATACTCCATACAGGCACCATAGACCGTATTTGCTCTCAAGCAAACTCCACACCGTGAGCTTCCTCACTTTGTTCTTCATCCCTCATACAGGAACTGCCTCCCACCTTTGTATCACACATTTGCCCTGCCAATGCATTACTGATGGCCATTAGATGTTCTATCTGCACTCTTGGTCTCTGGGGCCAAAGCACAAAGTGCAAACAATGCTGGTGTGGCTTTGAACCACCGTGAAAGATAAATTTATTAGGGAAATGCACGAGAATCTAAACACTGCTTCGTGAAAAGAGTGGTTCTGTAAAAAGTGAATGATAGGAATATTTTCCAAATGCTTCGTTGTTCAGGGTGAGCAAGTCCCATCTCCTCCAAACTTGAGGTATGATGAAAAATTGTGAAAGTATCTATCCATTTGGGGCCCACAAGGCGTTGCGCATCTCCCTCCCAGCTGCATAAGTTTGTTTTGTGGGAAGATAAGGCAGGCTTAGCTTAAAACATACAAAACAAGATTATACAAGAGGACACACAGCAAGTAAGGGTACACAGCAAGCAGTTTTCTTAGCAGCCTTGCTGGCTCTTCTCGACAGTCGTTTTTAAAGTTTACATAAAGTTTGTCCACATGGTTTTCAAGTGACCCTCAGATTTTTCACATGAAAAGGGGTTTTCATATTATCTCTAACAGGTTAAAATATGTGTCAACTGGGAAGAGACCTCTCTCTGTGTCTCAAAGTTGTTCAACCATCCATGCCTTCCCTAAATCAAACAGGGCCTACATGGCTTCTGCTTAACCCTTGGGAAAGACGCTCACCTGGCCTAAAGGTGAAGCCCTCAATCTCTTTAAATTATCTTTATTCTCCACGAAACTATGAACCAAGCCAGAGGCAAATTTCCAGCTTTAAGCTGTCTTGCATCAAGCTTTAAGCTAGTTGTCCCAAGGACACGAAGCCCCTGACTTTTCTTTAGTTCTTCTCTTTGTGTTTTGTGGGCCCTGTGTCATGGTATCCAATGCCCCAGTAGGACACCTGCCACAGCACTTCTGAGTTCAGAAGCTGAGAAATCTCTATTCTCAGCAGGTATCTCTTCAGCCTGCTCAGGATGAGGGACCAGGCAACCACCATGCCACCAGTACCCTGGGCAAACCTGTAGACCTGTGTTTGCAATTTCACTTTCATCTTGCCTATACATATCTGGACTCTTCTGTTCATGTCTCTAAACATCGAGATTCATGTTTCCAATAAAAAGGGCACTTCACTGCCTGATTGTACTTAATCGGCAAAGACAAAGATGGTCTGAAAGAAAATCATGCGTTGTCCACATGAAAATGGAAAACTGCCTTTCTCAGGTTAAATCCCAACAAGCATAAGGAAGGTACCTGAGTTCCTCCTTCCGATGAGAATGTTGAAGAGCCCTGAAGTAGGAGGTTCTCCGATATTTCGCTTTTGTGGGAAAAAATAAAATTGTCCAAAGTGGAGGTAGCAAGTGCTGGATATGATGTTTTTGTGCATTTACATACATTTTAAGTGATCTTGCTGAAAAAACTGTGTTGCTGTCAGCCGACTAAATTTCAGATTTTCTACAAAGCGAGTTAAAACGCAAACGTCAACCAAACCCCATGCTTTCAAGAAAGACACGTGCCTTGGTGGCCCAGTTGAAGCAGGGAGGTGACAGTGGAATGTCTGGAAAAGCATGCCACCCACAGACAGTTTTGTCCTATCACTTTAGGCAGATTGCCCTTTGAACCATCACTTACACCATTTCACAGAAATGATACAGGCCCAACATGTCCAGTGTTCACTTCGTGAGTTGCAAAAGCAATCCGCATGTTTACTGTAATAGGCCATTAACACAGAATACAATCTAAGCAAGAGCCTTTCGATCACTACTTTTTCTTTAAAAAATGCCATTATAACATGTTTCTTTTTTTTTTTTTTTTTTTTTTTTTGTTTTTGTTTTTGTTTTAATGTGATTTCAATTCTGGGAAATAAGAAACAAAGGATTGAGACAGTCGCTGTTTCAGATGAACTTCACTGAGTGCCTACTTTGTGTCAGGCCTTACTTTGTATATTTGTTTGCCTGTGGACAAGTGCAGACAGATCTCATGTATCCAGTCCTTTAACCATGTCATTTTGAGTGTTGACACTCATCTTAAACTTTCCCAGAATGAGCACGCAAATATGAATACCTTGTAACGACACAGCATGTCATTGGTGTGAAAGCCTCAGAGAATATCTCAAGTAATCGATGTGTTCAGAGAATTATCTTACCCAAATTACTCATAAACTCAATAGCACATAATAAAAAAAGAACATCAATTAATTAATGAGTCACCCTCAGATTGCTCTGATTACTACGGAGCTCAGTGGTTATGAATGGAGCCATCTCTCCTTATTCATTGTTTATGATTAGGCCATTATTTGGAGGAAACCAGTTTCATATTTAGCACATGCCTGTAGGTAATTGCATGATTAGTGTCATGAATGAAGAACTCAGAGCGTCTGCTTCTTCTAAGACCTCATGAAAACAAAGAGAACGATTTTCACTACAGCTTCCTTTGAAGTCAAGCTGTTACTGGGATGCCATCTCTCCAAAAACATAGTCATGCATTTATAATAAAGATTTAGAGCGTCCATACTACACGATGTCTGAGTTAGCTCTTACAGCACTTACAAGTGAGTCTTACAATGCATTTGCACATGTGAGGTTTAATCTCAATAATAGCCCCATGAGATTAATATATGCATTGCCAGTGCCAGGTTTAGAAATGTTTTCTTAGCCCCAAAGGACATTTCTGCTTTTGGTGAGCTGGGTCTGGGTGGATTCTTGGGAACAAAGAGCAATAGAGAGAAGGATTTTTGAAAAGAATAACCAACCAAACGTGCTACAAAGTCACAAATGAAACTTCTTCAGCCATCTTGGTAAATGCCATTCCAGTATGCTTACAGAATAATTACAACAGTTCCCCTAGGTAAGTGAGAAACATCTGTTGGTAACACATAGCAGGTGCTAACAATTACACATACTGAACTTTTAAAAAATGTTTTTAATTAAAAGAATCTCATTTAGTGAAGAGATTGGGGGGAGAAACATGCTAAATTCAAAGATGTCCCTGTTTTGTGCATCCAGATCACGTTATGCACAAAGCTGTAAGACCCGAGTCACCCTGCATCATCTGTGGCTTCTGTTTGGCTCAGATCGTTGCAATCAGAACTGGAGTCTAATGCATCACACTTTTCACACAGTCAGTATTCTGTTCCTAGGATCCACATCCTCATGAAATCTGTATGGTGGAGCTGACGAAAGGACGCTCGGGTTTTATAGGCAAGGTGACTGCCATTAACTAAACCAGACTAAGTGGGCACAGTACAAAGAAAGGAAAGGAGCCAGAGATGTCAGGGAACAGGGAACAATCCGTGTGTGTTATGCAACATTTCCATATGATGTCTCTTTGATAGATCTTAATAAGCACAGGCCACATTTACTGAGCAGCATCATGAGCTGGGTGGCTTTCTGCAGCCTCCAGCTGTGCGTAGGTATATAAGAACTATGTGCCAGTTTTAATGATTT